TGTTTATGTCCCGGCCGGACGGATACTCATGGTCTTAAAATAAGTGAGGGGAATTTGCTACCTTTCTATAATCAAAAAATGGATAGATATTCTATTCTTCTCGGATAAGGACGAATAAACCGTAGGCCCTGTCTCCTGAAGGATTAGGGGTAACTAGGAGACGTTAATTTCCCACGCACGAGATTACTGTGTAGTGGATGTGCTCCCTGGGGTGGGAATTGGCCCTGAAAAGCCCTCATGGGAGTGGTCAACTAACGTATGTATGTATGTCCGCCATCAAAATTTTCAAAGTGTCTTAAACCCTTTCTTTTTTAATTATCGATAAAAATAGTTTCTATCACTTCGAACATAGTTTTTTTGGTGTAAAGGGAATTTTTAACGTGAATTTTATTAAAACATTGTAGCTCTGTTATACATCAATGAAATATATTTACATTGACCACACAAATATTGTAATACATTCTCTAATAGTGTGCCAAATTTCGTGGCTTAAGCATGAATGGCTAAAAAGTTCGATGGGGTTAGGGTTAAGGGACCCTCCTCAAAATGTGGCAAAAAATTTCTAAGTCCACCTTTTTGACAAAAGTGTGTCTAAACATAATGGAAAACTAACCAATCTTTATCACCATAACCTACGTCCAATTAATAGTGTCTGTGCTGAAAATCATGTGATTCCCTCTAAGAATGACGGGTTTAGCGCATATCTACATAAAATCCTGACGAGGGGAAACGGACCACGAGTGGAAATGGACATTTTCGAGGGGAAATGAACTATCTCGGAGAGGAAATAAACCACCATGCCACCGAGGGGAAATGAACCTATCACCGAGGGGGGATGGACCATCACCGAGGGGAGATGAACCAGGGGAGATGAACCAGGGAAGCTAAACCATGGCGATGGTACCAGAACAAGGACTCTAACCCTACAGCTATAGTCCTCCTTTAGAAGTTGAAGAAACCTGATTTCATTGGTGTTCTGTATATCTTAAAAGGTGTTCTGCCTGTTCTCTCGACTCTTGGTAAGGTGTTTCAAAAGGGCTCCATATTTTTTCTCTTATTTCTCCTGCCATCAAAGCATCTTACGATTCGCTTAACAGGCTTGTTCAAGAGAACATCACTGTCAAAGAGTTCCGAAAGGAGACAACAACTGGAAAACTTGCTTGCCTCGAGTTCAGTGAAGATGGGATAAAAGCAACAGAGGCAAAGATGCACGACCTATGCTCCCAATATGTGACAGCCTTGACAAACAATATAGACCAACGCTTCCAGCACTCTTTGCCAGTCGTTTTATCCTTCCGTATCTTAGATCCACTTTCCCTGCCTATTGCAAACCCCGAGTTTGTAGGATATGAACAAAACGATATCCAAACTCTTGCAAATCACTTTTTTAATGGAGATGAGAACAGCAGCAAACGCCTTAAATTGGAAGCTGAATGGAACAACTTCAAGTATGAGCTGTCTGACTGGAGTAAAGACCATCAGGCTATTCCTTCGCCTTCTACAACTTCCACATCTTCCACAGAATGGGCCCGACAGAGGTTCGTAAGGCACAAAGAATCCCACCGTAGAAGTTATCCTTTGCTGTTACAAGTCGCAGAAATCTGCCTCTGTGCCTGTTTCAAATTCATGGCCGGAAATGGGAGCCAGTGCCCTAAAGCGCCTAAAAACACGCCTTAGAAGTTCCCTGAAGAAAGAGATGCACAGAAGTCTGCTTCATATTCCATAAATGGGCCCCTAGTAAACAAATCTGAAGCTGTGATTAACAAGGCAGTGGCGTTATGGAAGGAAAAGAAGCACAGAAGAAAACTGCCACGGTGTTCTCGTCTTCATCAAAATAAAAGGGTTCTGCCAAATGCACAAGAAGAGTAGGAAGTGGAGGAAGGACGAGCCGGCGGCACACAAGAAGAAGAAATACAAGAACTGCCAAGTTCTAACCAAGGGGAAGTTAATTGTCTCGCACCTTCCACCTTAGGGCAGGAAGAGGAAGTTGAACAACTTGCAAAGGAACTTGATCTCACATTCTCGTCTGAGGACAGTGCATTTGAATCTGATATGGAAGACTTACTTTAACTTTCAGTATTGTTACTAATTAGTGTACACCAGGTCACCAAAGGGCAAAGTCAAAAGGACAACATGAACTTAAAACATTGAATGTCTTTTTTTTGAATCAGCATGTGAAGATTTCACTCTTTTCTAAAAGCCAATGGTTGAGATTTTGAGGAAAAGAACGGTTGTAATAAACATTGAATATGGTTAATATAGTCTTGATTTTGATTGTTCTTAAGGCCCAAATACTGTCTGAAAAACGTTGAAAATAGCATTTGCAAGCATCTAAATTTCAAAATTTTCTGGGAGGCATGCCCCCAGACCCCCCTTAGGAAGCTCGCGCCCTCAGCGCTCGAAAAGTACGCTGCCGCCTACTTTCCCAGTGGGGACGTCTACTTCAAAACTTATTGACAGCACTGGTAACCCATCAAAGGAAGGTCCCTGTCTAGTACTACTTGCCTTTGACGGAAGCCACACTCTAAGGCTATGTCATTAAATGGAAATTGACGCGTGGTAGAAATCCTGTTTTACATTTATGTTTCTAGAATTTATAGCGTTCTATGAGCCGCTTTACCTTAAAGATCTTTCTGTAGTCAATCAGACCACAACCTGGACAGACAAGTGATAAATACACAATTTCCATAAAACATAAAAATAGCCAATTTTTTCCTTCTTATGTCGGCCATCTTTCTCAGTACTAATGATATCGTCATGGGGAGTTAACTGTGTTGTCATTCCAGTGCATGTGGTCAGAGCACTTAAGCTCGTAGAGCTTAAAGTAATTGTCTTTGAGTTCGTGCGAGAGAAAGCTGGTATTTCTAGAATTTATAGCGTTCTATGAGCCGCTTTACCTTAAAGATCTTTCTGTAGTCAATCAGACCACAACCTGGACAGACAAGTGATAAATACACAATTTCCATAAAAATAGCCAATTTTTTCCTTCTTATGTCGGCCATCTTTCTCAGTACTAATGATATCGTCATGGGGAGTTAACTGTGTTGTCATTCCAGTGCATGTGGTCAGAGCACTTAAGCTCGTAGAGCTTAAAGTAATTGTCTTTGAGTTCGTGCGAGAGAAAGCTGGTATGCTTTCTCATTCCTATTCATGGCTTTTGTATCTTATTTGAATCAGTAAAAATAACTCAAATTCGGGTATAAGACCCTTTATTTCTTCTCTTAAAGTGCCCAGAAACCCAAATTTTTTTCGCTTAAATAGATCTTTTTATAATTCTGAGCAAAGTGGCGCAAAAATTGTTTTTGGTTGAAAGCCGAATTTTCTATGAATTTTTAAAGTGGCGGAAAATCGAGAATCCAAAACCCATGACCGAGCAGCGGAACCTTCCGAAAAGGAATGAATCAAGTGTAATTCGTGACGTAACACCCGGGCTGTGAGCTTCGCGTGTTGTGACTTCGATCAAAGCTGAAACCATGCCTGAGAGATGCGTCGTTTTCGGCTGTGATAATTTTCGAAGCAAAGAGAAAGGGATACCTCTTCATCCCATACCGTTTTACGGTAGAAGTGAGAGCGAAAAGCAAAAGCGAAGGAAGAAGTGGGTCGATTTCGTCAAATCTAAACGTGCTCATTGGGAACCCAGCGAGCATTCGGCGGTCTGCTCTGAGCACTTCACAGAAAAAGACTACACAAACCGATTCGCTGAAGATCTGGTTCGGAGGCTGAATAGAGATGAAATCATGATCGGCGTTTGTGTTTTTCCGACTAGGCACGCTCGCTCTGTTTTGAGCAAAAACGCTGTAGATAAACTTGAAAGTGAGCGAAGCAAACGGAAAGTGAGATATTTCTAAGTATCAGCCAGTCTACCTGTCAAAACCAGCCGAATTTTCTTCAGTTGATCATGAATGTTTCTGTCATTTTTTGTTCATTATCACTTTCCAAGCCCACAGTATGTTCTTGCAAATACAATAACTGCGACCGGAAACATATAATTTCAGAGACGGAAAGATGTAATAGAAGGATTTGAAAATGCTAGCACAAGTGTAGCTGATCAGCCTAAGCCGAAGCGTGAGAGAAAGAGTACGAAATTATCCCCTTCCTCTCCACTGCTGTCCACACACGAAGAACCAGAGGAGTTTGCTAACGCAATAGAGGTTTTGCACAGCAGCCATGTTAGATGGCAGGAACAATAGATTATTTTACCCATGGGAAAAAAATTCTTTCTTATGCAAAATATTTTCATTGTTCCTGCCATCCAACAAGGCTGCTGTGCAAAACCTCTATGGACATTTCTGGTGTTGTGGAAGCCAGCGAAGGTTTAAATTCGTGTCCACCCGTATCTGAATTTGCTGCGGAATGTGCCAATTGCTGTGCTTTCATTAACGATCAATGTGTGCGCAGAAAACAAATGTCAACCGAATAAAAATGGTTTTCAACGGCGCACAAAGAAAACTACGCGTCTCCACCTCGCGTCTTCTCTGTTGTCCGGGTTTTACGTCACTAGTCCCAGTCTCCCCTTTACTCGGTCGTGGGAAGAAAAAACCAGACTTAAAAGATTCATAACAAATTCCAGATTTGACCAAAAACAAAAATTTTTGCGCCATTTTGCTCAGAATTATAAAAAGATTTATTTAAGCAAAAAAATGGGGGGGTTCAGTTTTAAAGTGTTATATATTTTTTTTGTTTTTTTTCGGAACTGCGTGGGTACTTCTTTTATGACTTGGTCCCAAGAAGTCTCTTGTATACTAACACAGGTTCGAATACTGTTCCACTCATAAGTTAGCTCTTTGGTTCTGAAATTCACCTCCTTGACGTTCGATAAGCTTAGGAATGGCAGTTTTCCTTCAGTTATGACACAATGGAGATTTTAACACACGTCAATAGAATGAAAAAATTAGCAAATATAAGACACTGGACACTTGAAACCCTGCAGTTAAGAATCCTTTATTTTTCATTTTTAGTTGAACGTTAATTGGAATATTTATTTCATATTTCATTTCAAGCCTTTTACCTTGAAAGTTCAAGCTCGACAACCATCAGGTCGGGTGATGGTGGCTTCTGGAACACCAGGGCTCCTTATTCAAGCTGCACATTCAAAATTTCTACAAAGAAGGGTTACAACCTGGAGCTTTCTCTTGACAATATGTCCATGAACAGCTGTTCTAGCTGTTCTTGTGGATATCTGAAAGTTAGAGATGGAAGTTCATCAAGTGATCCCCTTCTCAATGAATACTGCGGCACTCTAAGCTATGGCACAGTGACATCGACAGGAAATCATTTGTTCGTTGTTTTTTACAGCCATTACAGCGCAAACAGCTTCCGCGCAACAGTCCGTTCTAGATACAGTTCTTCTACATACAGACCTTTCTACCCAACAACGCTGTCTGCATATCACAGTTGTAGTAGTTACAGCTCTGAAACAAGTAAGTTTACCAATTTTCTATAGCCTACTGAGAGCATACTTGCACAGTGAAAGGAGTTGTCTTTAAATATCAGGTCAACGACTTCCACACTAAAGTGAGTTGTTAGTGAACTCAGACTTATGATAAGTTTAGTACTTTACAAAAGTGAATCATTTTCCCGGAACATCTGATTGAAAAATAGACTGAAAAGTATGACTTAGAAATTAAAATGAAAAGGTGAGTTCACGACACGGAGAGTTTCTGGGTAACTCATCCAAGGAAGGTCCCTGTCTGGTACTACTTGCGTTGGACGGAAGCCACACTCTAAGGCCATGTCATTAAATGGAAATTGACGCGTGGTAGAAATCCTGTTTTACATTTATGTTTCTAGAATTTATAGCGTTCTATGAGCCGCTTTACCTTAAAGATCTTTCTGTAGTCAATCAGACCACAACCTGGACAGACAAGTGATAAATACACAATTTCCATAAAAATAGCCAATTTTTTCCTTCTTATGTCGGCCATCTTTCTCAGTACTAATGATATCGTCATGGGGAGTTAACTGTGTTGTCATTCCAGTGCATGTGGTCAGAGCACTTAAGCTCGTAGAGCTTAAAGTAATTGTCTTTGAGTTCGTGCGAGAGAAAGCTGGTATGCTTTCTCATTCCTATTCATGGCTTTTGTATCTTATTTGAATCGGTAAAAATAACTCAAATTCAAGTGTAAGACCCTTTATTTCTTCTCTCAAGTTTTCATAGTTTTTTTTTTTTTTTTTTTTTTTTTTTTTTTTTTGGAACTGTGAGGGCATTTCTTTTATGACTTGGTCCCAAGAAGTCTCTTGTATACCAACACGGGTTCGAATACCGTTCCACTTATAAGTTAACTCTTTGGTTCTGAAATTCACCTCCTTGACGTTCGATGAGCTTAGGAATGGCGGTTTTCCTTCAGTTATGACACAATAGAGATTTCAAAACACCTCAATAGAATGAAAAAATGAGTAAACATAAGACACGGGGACACTTGAAACCCTGCATTTAAGAATCCTTTATTTTTCATTTTTAGTTGAATGTTAAGCGGAAATATTTATTTCATATTTCATTTCAAGCCTTTTACCTTGAAAGTTCAAGCTCGACAACCATCAGGTCGGGTGATGGTGGCTTCGGGAACACCAGGGCTCCCCATTCAAGCTGCACCTTCAAAATTTCTACAAAGAAGGGTTACAACCTGGAGCTTTCTCTTGACAAGATGTACACGTACAGTTGTTACAGCTGTTCTTGTGGATATCTGAAAGTTAGAGATGGAAGTTCATCAAGTGATCCGCTTCTCGGTGTATACTGCGGCACTCTAAGCTATGGCACAGTGACATCGACAGGAAATCATTTGTTCGTTGTTTTTTACAGCGATTACAGCGGAAACAACTTCCGCGCAACAGTCAGTTCCAGAAGAGGTAATTTTTATTTCGAATTTTACACGAGTAATGATTCACTTCAAATCAGCATTCTTTGAAGCATCTGCTCTTATCTCTGTTTTATTTCTTGTTATCTCCAGGTTCTAGTGTTAATGTTGCGGCCATCGTCGTGCCTATCGTTGTTGCAGTTGTCCTGTTTTCCATCATCTTTGCTGTCGTCAAGTGTACCAAGATAAATCGTTCTGCTGGACCGGCTGGGTCGTCCCGTGTGAACGACGTTCCCTTACAGCCCCTCTCAGAGGCCCATTTGTTCCCGACGATTGTGTCGTCTCTGTCTTCTGGTACACAGCGAGTTGATGTTCCGCCTCCTCATCCCAATCCCGCGACAGCCCCTGATGAACTGCCTCCCTCCACTGATTATTCACAGGGTTTTACTAACTTCGCAGAAGGAGGAGGATATGTTCAAGGATGAACAATGCTCGGTCTGTTTCCAGGATTCGTTTGATGCGTGTGTAATTTCTCTGAGGATAAACTGGATATTTACGAAAAGAGTTAATAATGCATCAAGTGTAGCCAAAGATAAATGCAGTAATGACGTAGATTAACTGGTTGTAAACTTAACACAAGGTTACTCAACCGTGTATCTATTAGCAACTTAGTGTGGAGGATCCTTAGGGGTCTTTACGTTTCGTATTGGATTAGTGAAACAATTTAATATAATGCTTATATAGCGCTTACACGTTGATTTTAGTCAAGGTTAGTACAAGTTATGTTGACTAGTTTAACCGACTGTCAACATAGCCTCAATGCTAACTGGTCACAGAGTGGTACGGTGGTGTTCCTTCAGCCCCGAGGTAGTTTGGTTAATAGTTGAGTTCGTATCTTTTGAGGCTGGAACAAAATTTGGTGCAATCTAACGTAGATTTTTAGCCTATTGAGATGGCATCACAATAACCCCGTTTGAAGAGTGTTATAGTTTGCGACATGGTTTTTAGTAGTTTTGTTTCAAATTTCTTCATGGATATGAATTGCTGTTACGGGAAAATTTAATGATGTTTCCGTGTGGTTGTTTAAACATGTTTATTCGTCATTTTCGGTATTCTAGCCTTCTCAATTCAAAAGACTTTCTTTCATTTGATGCTTTAAAAAGATAAAAAGCCATTAACAGTAGTTTTTGAATAGTAAACTTAAGTTGTACAGCTGCATCTCGGTACTTTTGTTGTTTATTATAGTGGAATTTTAGGTCAATATAAGCGTTAGTGATCTTTTTGGCAAAATAGGTTCTCATGGTAGTTGGCAGCTGAGTTTATACTCGTAACTTAAATTTCCTTCCATACTACCAAACTTAACACCACCTTTGCATAGATAAGCAGAAACTTTAATTGGGTTTTTTCAGCTTATTTGTAAGCTGCTCTGTTGTAATTACGATAGGTATATTTTTAATAGCGAAGCTGTGAATTCACACCTAAGTTTCCAATTTTTAATGGCCTGCTCTTTCATTTTCGACATATAAATATTTAAATATAAATCATTTAGCTTCCAAGAGACCTTTTCCGTTCTTTTACAACCTTACTCAATGGGACACCAGTTCATAATTAAGTGAGAACTTTGTAAAGGTTTTTCTCGATAACAAAGTTGAATATAGTAGAGGTCATGTCAGTTGTTGGCCTGACCTAGAATAAAAGTTTGCAGTGGAACCAAACGGTTGTCTCGTCCTCGACGTCCGTAAAGTTCACTTGAAGAGGTCGCCTGTACTCGTGACGAGTTCCCGTTCGTGCTGCCGAGTTGTCTCTTCTAAAGTAGTTCCCCTCGTTATTGTTGTGCCTTCCGCGAGAGCTGAGTTTGAGCGCGAAAAACTATTGTCACATGACGTGTTGCAATCCATAGTTATGCGAAGCAATATCACACAAAAGTTATAAAAACAGATAATTTTGCTTGATATACTCTGCACCTTTCGGTATTAGCTCTTGACATCATCATGGGCCTGAGTCAAAAGTTTGAACTACAAAGTACATTTTATGCCGATAAAAGAGGAGTGACAGAACGAGGGAGAGTAGATTATTTAGTTATGATGAAAGTCTTAATTTAATTTAATTTTAATTTATTAGATTCGCCGACAGGCAGGGACACCACAACAGCTTGCGCCAATTGCTGCAGGCCCAGTAAACCCACCCATCCCACCCCAAGGGAGGACATCCATCACACAGTAATCTCGTGTGTGGGAAATTAACGTCTCCAACTCCTAACCATACAGGAGACGGGGCCTGCGGTTTATTCGTCCTTATCCTTATCCTTTTAAATTAATGATAGTTTGAATTAGTTTGTTTCAGGTCCGTGTGGAAGGCTACTTTAAATACTATAAAGTAGAGCAAAATGCCGTTTTTTTGAAGTACTTTCTTTCTCTAATACTTCTCTTCTATTAGACTACTTGTAATGAAAATAAGTTTTTGGCATCTGCGCGCTTCCAGAGAGGAAAAAAAAAATTTAAAAAGGAGTTGTTCGGAAGCGAAGCGGAAATCAAACAAACAGGTTTATTTGTAACACGGAACGGTAAACTCATGGTAAACACGGTAAATATCAATGAACGCCAAACTAATTGCCACTCGAAAAACTCAAAATTTTTAACATCTCAAAAAGAAACTTACACACG